GTATTGTTGAACTTAGAGTTGAATCAGGTCACCTAGTATTACGGTATAGTAGTATTGTTTTTCATTTATAAATGAGAGATCTTAGTTTAATTCTCGCCAAAGACAAATTTGAGGCACATTATTGCTAGCCCATTGTGAGGCTAAGCACAACCCTTCCCTCTTTACTGTAGATAATATTGTTTGTTAACAATAAAATAAAAAAAAAACCTAAGAGTTCAATCAGTTGGCATTTTGTGTGTTTGGCGTTCCAAAATGGTTTAAGGTCAGTTTGTTCTTATAACATTATAACATTGTATTTATAGTGGTATGATGAGTTTAATAGTTGTGAGTCACTATTTTATAGTAATCAGTTCAAAAGATGTCAACAATTCAACTCATTACAGCTAACTCAGCCCACTATAAAATTCGTATAAATAGCTGAGTGGATGTTGGAATTGTCGATGCCTTATAATTAGTGCTTGGTTAGATGACAAATTGGGTATAATTAGTAAGAGCTTGTAACTCAATTGGCTAAGAGCATTCACCATTTTTGTAGTTGAGGTCATGAGTTCGATTCTCCCTCACTTAGTATCGCTTGTATAAGAAAAAAAAAGACTCGAATAAAATATCCACCATAGACCTAGGTTTAAAGGTTTTTTGATATAAGTTTCTACACTAATTGCACTAAACTGCATGTAGGGGGAATTCAACTCGATTGCAAATTGGTGAGCACACTGCATGAGTGAATCACCTTATTCACACACTTGCATTAAGGTATTTTATTGTATAAATTTCATAATTGAAACCCTTTATGTTTTTAATCATCATTTGATGTTATCTCTGCTAAAAAAATAAAAATAATCAACTTAAAAATTGTTTAGTCATCCATATATATATCAAATTGATAATTTGGACAACAACTAATATCCTCATAACAAACTTTCCATTCAGATATGATACATATAGATATACTGAATGATCTCCAAGTGCATTGATCTCGCACATATAATCTTAAATTATGATTAAAAAATAAGTGGTTCTAGTTATAAAATTTGTAGTCTGAGGCAGCTGGTAGGTCTACAAGCCAATAACCGCTTGTAACCTTTTCTTAATGCATAACATGTGCAATAGCCTTCATCGATGGTAATCCCGGCCCGATGGTTATCGTCCTAAACCATATCTGCTCAAAGAAGAAAATGATCCGACCCAGCTTGCTTACTTCGACCATGATGTCAATTGAAAAACTAGAGAGCCCGTAGCCAGTTGAAATGTTGCGAAATAAGGGAATTTTTACTTCATGCAACTTTTGGTTGTGGGGAATGACGGTACAAAAGCATATTAATTGTGGTATCAATTCCATGTCTAAATTTTCCAAGAGCTACTGCTTTTAAAAAGAAGAAAAACCTCCTGACCTATAAGAGATTTTCAGTGTGATCGGAACACGGGATGATACACCATTTGTCACTCGATAATTGGAACTTAAAAAATAAATTTCTATCACTTATATAAAAACACGTGGTGTATCACTAAAGTTCCTGTTACAATGAAAAGAATTTCTTGACCTACATCACATGCCATGCATCCATATTAACCTTTGGATGACAAGCATATTTAGTCGGTGTGCTCAAACAAGTGAGAGTGGGAAGTGAGAAAATGCAGCTTTCTAATATTCCTAGCCCTCCCACCACTGGCCACTCGATCGATTGTTGCTCTTGGCATAATTTGCATGGTAGGGCATGCATTGCCCATACGTATATCGATCGATGCATGATCATGTGCCAACATCTAGAACAAGTGGGTGCGTAAAGATTTTTATGCCACCGATACATGATGCTATTCTGATATTTTTCATGTGTATACGTACGTAGTTGTTTGCAAATGTCCCCACCGAAGTTTTTCGGTCTTTTGTTTTTAATCAGGAAGGTTCCGACCAAAGTCTCGTTGATAACTTGATCTAGTGATGGCTACAACCTGTATAAACAGGCAACAAGGGATGGGGCCTTCAATCAAGTAATCAACATAGAAGAAAATCCAGAGAACAATCAAATGTACAATTAGATTGCACAGAGAACTATCAAATATACAATTAGATTGCGCAGAGAAAATCCATATTTCCCATGCAGACCAAAAATGAACAATCACATATACAATTAGCTAGATTGCACAGAGAACTATAAAATATCCTTAAATGGGTATGTTTCAAATTTCGACGTACCGCATCATATTAAATGTTCATAAACATATAACACTACAAGAAAAATGAGCTTTGGGTACAAAATAAAGGGCACAATTGAGAATTTTGTGTCAGTTTGACCACCAAAAAGCTTAAACAATTCCCATTCCATAGAGGGCACAATCTATTGTGCCCAATGTTAAAAAAAGCAGACACAAAACAGTAATGGGCACGGAAATCGTGTCGAGTGGGATCACATGACAACTTTTTTACTGAAAATGGGCACAAAAAATATTTTGTGTCTATAAAAATTATTTGTCAAAGGCACTATATGTTCTCTCTCGTTTGTCTTTACCTCCACTAGTACACCAATAATTAAAATTTATAAAATTGTGGTAAATAATGGTATGAAGCTGTTTATTACCGTGCAATATTTTAGCCTCAAAATAAGTTAGCAATAATGTTGTTCAAATTTGTTTTTCCCGAAAGCTGAACCTCAGATCTCTCACTTACAAGTAAAAAAGAATACCACTACACCATAGTACTAAGTGGCATGTTTTAGATTTACAAAGGATCATTTCCAGGTGCAATGAATGTTTGTTAGATTCGTATCTTTTTGAATTGCTTTTTGGATTGTTATCTTCTTGCAGGTTTGTTTTTTATACTTGGTGATATGGTTTTTGGTTTTAAAGTCCTACCTGCAGTGACACATAACCAACAATTGTGCCCTTAGGGTTGGTCTCTGTGCAAAAGTTAGTTGGTCTTCAGATAGACAAATGAGTTAATAATTGTAGATTCCTTTTTATGACACTAATGATAGAAATTGTGTCCACTAAATATTAATAAATAATAAATCACTCTACTTCTCATTGGGTCTTCAAATAGAGAATATATTTTAATAATTATAAATTCCTCTTTTCTGACACAAATGTTAGAAATTGTGTCCAGTAAATATTAATAAATAATAAATACTCTATAGCAAAAGAATATGTTGGCACAATTATGGATTTGTGCCTTTATTCTACTATAAAACGTCCACACACTCCCTTACTAATTTGTATATGGAAATTAAGAAGGTTGCTTCATACACATATGTTTCTTTTGAATTTGAGCAAGTTCTACATCATTGACAATGGCGGACAGGCAACGTCGTGGAGTTAGAATTGGAATTGAATCTCCAGCATCACATTCGTATATTGCTTCCAACATTACAACAGAAAATTCCACAAGGAATCCTCCAGTTCAACGTCCACGACAACCTGTTAATGCCGGGCGCATGCCTCGTCCTTTTAATAATCAGTACATTCTTACTACTTTTGTTGATGGTCGCCTTGGCTATGCATTACCCTTCAATAACAGATGCGTACGCACACCTCAAGGACGTGTATTGCCAGCATGGGCAAACCCAGGTAGGACAGAACAATATCTTGTCAATTTGGTTTCTACTGAAACAACAACTGAACAGTCTACCAATTCTGTCGTTATTATTGAAGAACCACGCACTTATCAAGTACAAATTCGTCCTAGAGGTCTGTCTGTCCCACAGTTGAGCTCACGAAATATGCAGAATGTTACCGTTGAGATTTTAAGCAGCGATGACGAGGACAATTAATATATTTTGTATTATGTTATATTTCACTGGTGTACTATGAAAATATAACTATCTTATGCTATGCTGGACTCCTCTTGGGTCCTTTTATCAACTTATGTCGTATTCCAATATAATAATGTTTTCTTTCTAATTAGCCCTTGTAGATTTACTCCTAGTATATATTTTTTTAGGTTATAATTATGTTTCTCGTCCGCTTCATACCGCAGAATTCAGTGAATTCACAGCGTGGCAACACAAAGGTTATGAGACATTATTTCTATACTAAAACTCAAACTCTGGTGCACTGTTTACGGACAGTGCAAGGACGAACATGCCCCCCAATTGGTCTTCAGCGTTTTTTTTTTCACAGTAAAATGGCGGTTTTGTCCTCCTAGACCACGCGTCTCTCATCAATGTGCCTCTAGGTTCGATCTTCATTTTCTGTTCCTTGCTTGGCACGCGTCCATCATCGCTGCCGTTTCTGTTTCAGTTCTCTGCCTGTTCTTTCTTTGCTTTCCATTTCTCTTCTCTCTCTCGCCGTCTTCTCAGTGTTTTGCAAGCTTTTCTCCCTTTGCCTTTGTCGCCATGGTCTCCATCGCTCTCAAGCTTTTCTCCCTTTCTATTTGTCGCCATAGTCTCCATCGCTCTCAAACTTGCGTTTCTATCCCTGTCAAATCTTGGCTCACTGGAAAAATCTGAAGTAGTTTAAGCTTCTTCAGCTTTTTGATTTGGATTGAAGATGATTTTAAGCCAAAAAGGTTAACGTTTTCTGGTAAGTTCTTTGAATCCTACATCTCGGAGTTCTTTTTTTTTTTTTTTTTTTTTTCAAATCTATGGGTTGTGTTTTCTTCAATTTTAAAATATTAAAAATTGAATCTTTTTTTTTTTTGGGTAATATTTTTCATTAGATTATGCTATGGGTTCTGATGAGGCTTTGAATTGGGTTTGAGAGTTTTGATTTAATGAGAAAGATAAGGAGTATACACGGAGACAGGGAGTTAGGTCATTTGAAGAAATGGAGATTAGGGTGAGAGAAAAACGGGAGAGAAGGGGTAGCAGATTAAATTTTGATTTTATAATTTTGGGGGTTTTGTGTTTAAATTTTGCGTTTGTAATTTTGGGGCTTTCATGTGCAACCTTAGAACCACTTTGTGCTCAAGGTTTATAAAAGGTATGAAACCCCTGGTGTTTGCTGATGCGTTTTTTTTACTTTCTTAGTATGGCCTTTAAATTTTTTTGGTAGTTTCTGTAGATATAGCCTACAAATGTTGACCCGAAGGTTGGACATAATCATTACTTCCTATTACAATTTATTAACGTTAATTCAATTAACAAAAGTTGATTGGAATCTGACAATGATCTAGATATTTGCATGGGTGAGAGAATCTCGCTGACATTTTTCGATATTTAGATGGGATTTGTCTATGAATTTTGTTTTTGTAATTTTGGGTTTTGTTTATATTGTTAGATTCGTTGTCTGCGCGTATCATTTGCTTCTGTTTTTCGTTTCAGGCGACGTTACTCTTCATTTTTTGGGGCTTTTGTGTGAAGCTTTCGAAGCCCTTTGTGCTCAAGGTAAATAATTTTGGTTTTTTCCTTTGAGGCTTTTGTGGAACAATTTTTTTTGTTTTTTGTTTTTGTAATATTGTGATAGTTTTATTTTGTATGTTGTGAAAGTTGATTGTTTGAGAAACTGAGTAACTGTGTATTTGTTTGTAGTTATGGTATGAGACGTGATATAAATTGAACAGGGTGAGATAAGGTATTTAGGTATCACAACAATTGATCGTGAAAAACTATTAACAAACTGCATTTGAAACATTCATTCATTTATGTTATATGGTTCCAAGCTTGAGTTCTTTTTTCCATGCAGCCTTCTGTTAACCAATACGGGTCTATTCATTCTGGTAATGCTACAAATGGATAAATCACATCAGAGCGTCTGCTACCCCTTTGTTACCTGATTTCATGGATTCATATATGTGCTATCTCCATAACTATTATCTGTCTGCTGCCTATTACTATGGAGGTAAAACTTATGGGTGAAGTCTTTGCTTTAGATTGGTTTATTTATGGATTGTCAGATTCTTCTTTAAATTCATGTATATTTTTTATATCAAAATTCATGTGTGTGATATGAATGGTTTTGTGAATTTCTTTTAGGCTATGATGAGACTAGCAACAACTGGGAGGACTACTTGAGATATGTAAATCCTGAGGGAGTATAAATGATTTCTGTAAGTTCCTCTTCCAACTTCACAATTGTGAACTGGGTAGTCATTACAAGCTTCCAGTGATAGTTGTCTAACGCTTCGAAGGCAGCTCTCTAAAATTTAAATTATCTTTCTGAGTTTTCTTTTCTTCTAATTACATAAAATTGATATTTTTTTATATAGTTATTTATTTGTCATATGCTCTGGTATATCGATTTCTTTTTTTCTCAAAATTTTTGCTTCGTTTTATATAATGCATAGAAAGGAGGAACACCCAAACTGGAGGTCAGTCAAGCATGACATCCTTTCTATAGACCTGAGGTCAGTCAAACATGTGTTATATGTGTATAGGTAGAGTTTCCATTGCTTGATTCTCCTCTGCTTATATCACTTTATTTGGTGCCAATTTTAGGGGAAATTATGAGACATGGAAATTGTTGCCAAATGCGAGGACATAAAGTTGTCTATTTGCAAAATTACGATGAAGTGGCACAAGGACCCTAAGTTGGTATGTTCAAGTAGATTACCTGATCTCCTTAGTTGGGTTTAGGTTTAATGCTCAGTGGTATGTTGTGCTTCTGCTTCTTTTTAATTATCGAGGATATGCAGAGATTGCAAATGAAAAGATTGTATTTGCAGCGTTGATGCATTGTTGAGCCAGAGACGCAAAAGGAAGGATGTATTCAATCTCAAGATCTGAGCTTTCACTTCTTAATTTTATTATTATTAATTTTGTTTGCTCTTTGAAATTTGAATGTATTAGTTTTTTAATTTTATTGGGATTAGTTTACCTGAGATGGGTTTTGGCTATATTTTTAGATTATGAAATTTAATGTTAATTGATTTTCTAGGAAAAATGTGAGACTGAGAGTATGTTAAAAGGCTGAAACATTGCATAAAGTGGTTCCAAGAGCTTGAGGAAAGCTACTTATTAGAGCGTGAGAAGTTAGAGAATTTGATTCTGTTATTCGTAGACCATTCTGCCAAATCTCTGAGTTTGAAGCAGATCAATTTTTACATTTTTATGTTTAATTTTAGGAAGAAATGAAAATGAGTTTTGCCTTTTTTGAGTGTTTCGTTAATACTAGCTTGCTGCATATGCTATTCTCTGGGTGTAAATATAATTATCTAAGCAAGCTCACTTATTTTTTGAACTCTAACTGATTTGTAGCTGCAACAAGAATTTTTTATTGGATTTTTCCCAGTCTTTTTAACAGTATTAGGTTTCTATCCTGCATGTCACCAGGCTGATTTCCTTGGTAGGTCATATTTTTCACTTTCTGGATGTGCAAAGTTTGGATAGTACACATCACCGGGCCAAACCTTTCTCAGGTAAGGAATTACATCGCGTTTGTTGAAAATATTTGCTTCCTTTCCTCTGATGTATGTGTGTGATTTTAGATTGTAATGTATCACAAATTTGTGGCATGAAAATTGATATTTGTAGACTTACCCTTTATTTTTTGGCTGTGATGGGGGAAAGGAAAATAAAATTTCAAAGATTGATACTTTTATGTGATTTCTTGGCTCTTTTTTTCATATGATTTTCATTGTATGTGTGCCAGTGTATGTCTCTTCTTGAAAAATGCATGTTGAAAATGGGAGAATTTTGGACATTGACATGTTAAGAAGTCAGGTTTTCTGAATGAAGATACTCTTATGATTTGTTTGTAATTTGTTTTGCAAATGGGTAGGAATGTCATTCTAAAAGGATATTGGCAGGAGGGGGTGGAATGTCATTCTAAGATATATATATCAGCAGCAAGGGTGTGGAAGCTCACACGCTCAGATTTCAACGCGTTTCGAAGGTGGAAATGACAAGAATGTGCAGTGTGGACCTCCAATTTCTACTGCTATGATGCATGAGGACTGCCAAAGTGAGAATACTGGTTAGTTGTCATCAAGCAGCCCTTGTAGATGTGTATTTTGTTTATATATTGCTAGTTTAACCATTAGTACGTTTGACTTGGGGATACAAGCTTGGATATGTTATATTTTGTTGTATATAGAGAATCCCGGGTATGTCCAGCATAGGATAACATGTATTTTTTGGTTTAACATTTGGATGGGTTGTATTGTTAGGTTGCATGAATCGGTCTTAGCCGAGAACATGGGTTATGTAATATATTAACTTCACTATTTTAGTGCTAATGTTGATTTATGTTTAGTTTGTAATGGATGATTTGTAAGTTTCTAAATTTAGGTGGAAATTAGGTTCTATGAGCAACCTGATGATTTCCATGTTTAAATAAAAATATCCAATTATGCCACAAATTTTTAATTGTGCTGGAGTTTTATTGTATTTATTAAAATATAATAGTGGCACAATTTTAAAGTTGTGCCCTTGCTTTAACATTTATACAGCAATCTAAGCCTTTAAAATAGCAATTGTGCCCATCTTACACCATACATTCAGTAGCCTTTATTAGAGGTAAGACACAATAAGGGTTGTGTTTGTGCTTAGCTTTGGGCACAAAACATCATATTGTGTGCTATAAGTAATGGTGACGCCCATAGAGGGCACATATACAAACTTAGTTGCTGCACTGTTGCTATTGGTCTATGAGCACAAATGTTGGTGCTTTTTGGCCTCAAAAGGCACATATAATTTTTTGTGTGCAGTGCTCATTTTTTTTGTAGTGTAATAATTTAATTTTCATTTAAAATACATCATTGTGATCAGTACGTTGCACTTTTGTTTCATTGGAGCCCTATCCAGCTTCATGCAATTGCTTATTCAAACATCATACATTATTACACATACCTTCTTGTCAAAACACAAAATACACAACTATGGGGCTCCTCACTTGGAAATTACCATCATCCCACACCAGAGAACCAGAGACTATGGTTTTATCAATCAACCCTTTCACCGTGACTTGAAACGATAGCTTCTGCCCGAGAGATGTGAACTTTAGAACGCTTGGATTAACTTTGATTTCAAGTCCTGGTGGTGCACTCACTTTAGCTTTATATGTGGACTTTGGTGATCCAACATTTGTGACGGTCCTATTGAAAATGCCATTGACGGATTTAGGGTTCGAGGTGGAAAGTGCAACAGAAGGATAGTTTAGATGATCACTGAGTGTTCCATGACTCGATTGTGATGATGAGCAGCTATCCCCTGTAAGAGCTTTCAATAATCTGGTACTATAGCCATGTGCACACAAAAAATTTACGTAATCGACTTCAGCAGCATCGTATACCAAACCAGGATACGGAGCCCTACTAGGATTTATTAGGCCAGCACCGTATGCGAATTCGGCTTCAGGGTTAAGATTTGCACTCATAGATTTGGCTGCAAAATCGTTACAAATTAATCAAACATATAAATCTTAGGTAATACAATGTACATCATGGACAAAGTCTAATTATATGTAGGGTCTCTCTCACAAGACTTGGTCACATGATCTCTGACAATAATTGGTCACATGACTCATCAAATATGTGAGAGAATGGTTGTATTGTAATGGGTACATGTATGAAAATGCATCCATACCAGTAGTCGTAAGAGCTGACAGGATAGCAGCAGGTGACCAATTGGGGTGAAATGACTTGACATATGCAGCCACGCCCGCAGCATGTGGGCATGCCATTGATGTCCCCGATATTATATTGTATGAAGCTACTCTGTCATCACCTTCAACACCTGAAACTGGGGCAGTTGGAGGCCATGCTGCTAGAATGGAAACTCCAGGAGAAGCGATATCTGGCTGCAACATATAGGAGAAAACAAGGAGGAAATGTAAGACCCCTCAATATTCATGATTCGGTTTGTTCATTTTTTAAGTCGGCATTCACACACCTACGGGGCCTTGAGGTTACCTTGAGAATGTTAGGAGTATTTGGATTTGGACCCCTTGATGAGAATGAAGGTATATATGGGGCCAGTGCATCCCTACCCTCAGTACTTTTCCAAATTGTTGCTGTTGGGCTCCTACAAATCATTACAGGGTTCAGGATTTATTAGCAATAACATAATAAGGGGTCTTTTGATTTATGTTAGTTTCGCACATTAGCAATATTTTAAATCAATCACACACAGTCATTCTCAAATATTGATACCTGGTTGAGTTTATGTAATGGGTAATTTCGTTACCAACATGGAACCAAACGGAAGCTGCTGGTACTGAAACAGGATCGATTACATCTGCTGGAATTCGGCTTGTCAAAACGTAACCAAATGCGCCTGCATATATAGCCCCATCCCCAGTAGTCCCATCGCAAAGAACAATTTTACCCTCCACCAATTTTTTGTCTAACGTGCCAATATGGCATAACCTGGTCCATATATATATATCCATGTTATTAGCACCAGGTTAGACTTATGCTAGACTACCGTGGTTCTTCAGTATAAAAGGTATATACTCTCAAAATGCGTACACATACTTGGAAGTTTTGCCATCGTAGCCTGCTGCCCGATCCGGAACGTCTGCAGCATATATTATGGGGTAGAATTTACCCTTTAGTTCAAATGTGTTTGTTACTATTCCCTACCAAGGAAGCAAAAACAAATCATAATCAACTCTCATGTTAATCACTTCTCTAGTATTTTGGTGCATCTTTCAGCATATATATATAGTTGATTCTCCAAAAGTGTATATATTGCCCAACCAGAATCACTACCAAACAAAGCCCTCAATGAGCAAAGGTTAGATTTTGTATCAATTACCTCATAAATTTTGTGGTTTCCCAATTGAACCTTGGTATCAAAGTGGCGATCTATGGTGCTAGCAGCTACAGCAAGAGACCATGGTGCAAAGTTTGTAATAGTTTTCAGGTTTGGACCTTCATTACCAGCAGCCGCGGAAGTGAATATTCCTTTTCTTAAAGCGTGAAATGCTCCAATGTCAATGGAATTTCTGAAATAATCTAACGGTTTAAACCCCCCAAGGGAGACAGAGAGTATATCAACACCGTCAGCTATGGCATCATCGAATGCCGCTAGAATATCAGCATCCGGGCACCCGTCTGACCAACAAACTTTGTACACCGCAATGCGTGCTGATGGCACCCCTCCTCTTGCTGTCCCCAACCCTAAACCATACAGACTTGCCTTGCTAACTAAGTTCCCTGCTGCTGTTGATGCACAGTGGGTTCCATGGCCTTCCGTGTCTCTCGGGGACAGGAAATCACTGCTATTTTTGGGGTAGGGTAGACTGCGGTAATACCGTGCTCCGATAATTTTACTGTCCAAGTGTAACAAATATGTCATATTATTTTAGTCAGAGTTACAATTTGACAACATATGATATAAATTATAATCAAGTTCGCACTTTTTTTTCCTGTCCAATTGTACTTAACAACAACACGTGATTTTCCTTCTTTTTTTATTTTATTTTATTTTATTGTTTTTGAAATGTGCAGTGGATGGTTGAAATAAACTGGTTTGCTTTACTTGTTGCAAGTAAAATTGCCTTCCCCCTTGCATGCGCCCTTCCACCTTTTGGGGGGTGGGCCAAACCCGGCGTCACTGAAGCTGGCAGATTCAGGCCAAATTCCAGAGTCGATCACCCCGACAATGATATCAGTTTCAATGGCGCTTCTCTTCACCATTTCAGGAAACCCAATGAAGTCCCATGACCTTGTTGTTTGGGGCTTCTTAGTTTCACTAGGGAAAACAGACACCACACCATCCATTCCTGCATATATTTTTCTCGTCATACAATGGTCACTATTAATGTTTATGCAACTTGAAAAA